CTCCCTCTGATCCTCCCCCCTCTCATGCGCTCTGTTTCCAATAAATAAGTAAAATCTTTAAAAAAAAAAAAAAAAAGAACATCTTATGAGAAAGGCTTTCCCATAAGACAGGTAAGAAAACTGAGGCTTAGAGAAATCAAAGAGCTTGCCCAAAATTACCCCACTAGAAAATTTTACCATCACCTCCTCTCTAAAGCCTTTAATGTATGTACTTAGAAATATTTCCCTTAGTCCTTCATTAAGGATATCAACCATTTGAGAATTTAATATTGATTCCATTCCTCAATCTAAACAATGATAGTTGAAGACATAAAATTGTTTAGCTCTGTTGACTCTGGAAACTTAGAGAATGAGAAAATGAACTTAACTTCTTAAATCTTTTCTGAATGTTTCAGAAGAGACTCCTGTATTGGAAGACTTAATTTATACATAAATTTATAAGGTGTCTTTTAATTCTAGGAATCTGAATCATAGTGTTAACATTCAGCTTCTCAATTTTTGATTCCTAGGAACAAGAAGGCTCATCTAGTTGGGAAAAATTCAATCAGGAATATTTTGAAAATAACTCTGTAACTACACAGCTCTGATTCTGGCATGTTACTTAGATTCTCTGAGTCTATGTTTCTTCATTTGTAAAACAGAAATAACATCATATACTTTATAGAGGGTTGTGGGGAAAATTAAGCCCTGACAAATGGTCAATACACTGTGGCTTTTATTTCTTTATTCTGTATCTAGAAGTAGTTTGTTCTCATAGGATTTTAATTCAAATCATATCAGCTACAAAAACTCTACTGACTTTCAATCCAGATCCTAAACATGAATACTACATAAACTTGATCAATGGATTCCAAATAAACACATTAAGAATTATAAAAATTCAAGCTCCGTCCTTTATCACACATTTATTCAAGGAATGTTTAAGACACCTCTAATTTCATAAACATAGTAGCAGTAGTCTATTAATACACATTAACATCTAGTACTCTTCTCTCAGTTTCTTAAAAAAATTCTAAAGTCTATTACATTTTAGATAAAGGTATACAGAAGTTCACCTTCTCTTAATCGTTTCCTTTCTCTAGCTCCTCCTACCTGTCTCAGCAAAAGAAAAGCTAGGTAAAGAGATTATCTAGGTAGTACATAGATTGCTAGGACATGCAAAGGTCAAAATCATCAAGGAATCTATTCTGGAGATTCAATAAAATATAAAATTGTTACTTGTACATTCGACATTAAAAAGAGCAAAAGAAGAATATAATCAACCTTTTGATTTTTATATAATTTAACCCAAGATCCTTTCATATAAGCGTGGTTAATAATCCCAGGTAGAAATTCAGAGAATTTCTTGGCTAATAGTGCAATAATAAATGAAGCAACTGAATTTTAAAAATTTGTCACCGACATTATTTGAAATGAAAGACAGAACACATTCTGGCATAAAGTTACTACCTAAGGTATAGAAAGATACAAACTTTTACCTAGTTGCCTCACACCTTCCCCTCACCCAAGGTCCACACATTTCACAGGGCCACACCTTGTTTTATCTTCTTGCTTAACTCTTATAGGACTCCACTTGAGCCGACTTTCTTACATGGCTGCCTCTTTCCTCTGGTCTAAGGATGGAAAGTAATCAGTACCACTCAAGAGTCAGGTGCCCAGGCAAGAGTTAGATAATCATTGGGGGGGGGCGGGATCATCAAAATATCACCCTATAATTATATCTACATGATCACAGACTTACACCCTAAGAAATTAATCCAGCACTTACGGGTGAGCATTACAGGGACAACAAGCTCCCTGTGGACACATGTCAGTCTTTAGTTTTAAATTATTAAATAAATAAGCATTCACAGCTAAACCAGAATTGGCTACACATTTTATTAGCTACTATAATAAACAGTCTTAAGTATAATCTGAACAAATTCAAAGACTAAGTTTTTGGTAACTGCTTAGCAATGTTTACCATGTGACAACACGATGTTGCTATAGATTCCTTTGGAAAAAAGTAGGTACTAGGGGCACCTGGGTGGCTCAGCTGGTTGGGAGTCTGCCTTTGGCTCGGGTCACGATCCCAGGGTCCTGGGACTGAGTCCCACGGTGGGCTCCCTGCTCAGCGGGGAGTCTGCTTCTCCCTCTCCCTGTGCTCCTCCCCTCCCCTCTGCTTGTGCTCTCATTCTCTAAGAATAAATCAAATCTTAAAAAAAATTAGGTATTAGGAAACAAATTTTCAGACAAAGGTGTATTAACAAGTCAAGATAAGCAAGACCCAGCTTGAACTCACAGAAACATCTTCATAATGTGTTCTTATAATGCCCTTCACATCAAACTATCAAGGGTCCTGTGCTTGTTCAAACCTACAGTCTCAACCACCTATTCTCTTGTGGAATCCCCATCCTTCTTCCTCTCAAGAGTTTTTCTAGACTTCCCAATCCCAACAGAAAAATCAATAAAGCCTACCTACAGGAATATCATCCCTAAAGATCAACCACCAACTTAAAATCTTTTATGGAAGACAGTTATTTTTAAATAACATGCAGATTTAGAATACTGAAACATCTAAGTGCCTGGCATATACCAGGCATTTGGTCAAGGCATTTTGAATAGACAATGTTAGCAGAATAAAAAAATTTAACAACTGGCCATGCATTTGATAATACAGTATACCACTTTGGCTTTACTGATTTGTAAACTGAGACTCAAAAGGTTAAAGGACTTGTCCATGGACACAGATATTTTGGAGCACAGTCATGACTAACAATTCTTATCTCCTAGTAGTACAGTGTTCCCTTCAACAGGTTATACCGTAATTATGGTCATCATTCCAGCCCTTCAAACTAAAATATAAAAACATACTTGTGTTTAAAAAAAAAGAATGTTTAAAGAAATTTATGTAAATTTCCACCAAAAAAGAAAAAAAATTTTGTTTTTTTTTTTTTTAAAGACTATTTATTTGACAGAGAGAGGCATAGCGAGAGAGGGAACACAAGCAGGGGGAGTGGGAGAGGGAGAAGCAGGCCTCCCTCAGAGCAGGGAGCCCAGATGCGGGGCTCGATCCCAGGACCCCGGGATCATGACCTGAGCAGAAGGCAGATGCTTAACGACTGAGCCATCCAGGCGCCCCAAGAAAAAAAAAATTTTTTAAAGTAGGCTCCATGCCCAGCATAGCGCCCAAGGTGGAGCTTGAACTCACGACCCTGGAATAAAAGACCTGAGCTGAGAGCAAGAGTTGGAAACTTAACCAAATGAGCCACCCAGGTGCCCCTAAAAAAGAAATTTTAATGACTCTAGCATTCAACCCTTTTATTTCTGAAATATATACTGAGGTAGCTAGCCAAACTTCCTGGTCTTATATACCTCTCCCATAATAAAATTACTTCACTAATGTGAAAAATGTTTGATGATACCACATCAAAAATGTCTTTAGTAACTTCCATGTGCACTTCTCATTATACTTTCAATAATGTGTCACTGCCGCCAACTTGCAGCTGAAAAGTAATCATCCCTACACATGATTAAATGTTTATTCAGATATATGTGAGTTACACCTAAGAACAGAACATCAGGCAAGGAATGTTACTTTGTGGTTCAAATTATTTACTGACAAACATTAAATCAAAGGTAACATCTATGATTAGAAAATAAGCAGTGGTGTGGGTCACTATCTCCCTAACCAATTTTTCTAAAGTGTTACAGAAATACAATATTTGTAAAAGGCCCAATATGTAAAAATATAAAAGTTATGAAAGTGAAGTTGTTCCAGTTAAAGAGGAATTGGGGAGTAAGCCCTGCTGAACTCCTGTGAGCTGTGGAACCCCTAAGGCTCAGCAGAGTATCGTTTAAATAAATAAATCCCTTTACTCTTCAGAACTCTTTGCAGCTAAAAACTGGTTGTGTTTAAAATCCCAATATGCAAGTTTGAAAAGATTAAGCCTTTTTCCTCAGAACAATTTTTAAAATTTTTAATTTCTTTCAATAATGTCAAAATCACCTACTCTGGGAAAATAATATCTATATCCCATTGATTTTTACACCTCCCATCACTCTACCAATCACTAAAACTCATTCCGCTCATTAGTGCAATCTGCAGAAAATTCAGGGGTAGGGATGGGGGCGGCGCACACATTTCTTGGCTTGGACAACTTAAGTATGACCTTTGTGGATTTGTAAGTACCACGCGGTGCTTGAGAAGAGAGCAGGGAAAATACCTCCGGTGATGAAATTTTCAAAACGTATCTAAACTGCGGTTGGTAGAAGGCTCTCCACAGCCAGCTGTCTTTCAATATTTAAATCTACAAGCAGAACAGAACCATACCTCAACCACCAAACTCTAACATTAAGAACTTTACCACACAATTTACAGTTAAAAATACAAGAAATCAGTGTGATTTGCTTCAATGGATTTGTTCGATGTAATGAATGAACTGGAGGCATCACAGACTTGAGTTCTCAAGGAGCCTCACTCTCAGCTCAGACCCCTATAAGACCTGAAGCAAATCCTCCAGAATTTGGTGTCTCGAGGCTAAGTCCGGTCCAAAGGAAGCCTACCCCCTTCTTTCTCCAGGCCTCTCTCCCAGGGGTTGGAGCCCTGGGCGGCCCTGCGGGTGGGGGCGCCGCAACGCCCTACTCTTCGCTTCGGAAAAGTTCCGCCCGCCGTTCTCGGGCCAGGCTGGCCTGGGGCTCTCGCCCGCGTCGCGGCCTCAAACACCCGCCGGGCCTCGGCGGCGGGAGGGTCGCGCCCCCTCCCTGCGCCGCCGCCACCAACACTCCGCCCCCGCCTCCCCGCCGCCACCGCCCTCGCTGAGCGTTAACCCCTTGCGGCCCGCCGCCCGGCTTCGGGGAGGAGGCCGGGCCAGGGGGTGGAGTTGTCGTGTCTCCTCCCGGGAGCGCCCGGGCAGACGCCCGGCTTGTTTACAGGCCCCAGGCCCAGGCCTGGCCGCCACCGCCGCCGCGCAGGCCCGCGCAGCCCGCCCGCCCGCCTTCGGCCCGAGCGTCGCGCTTACCAGGAGCAGCCGCGGGCTGGCAGGTCCCTGGTCGGCCAAGGCAGAGGTGGCGACGGCGGCCGGGGAGGGGGCTGGAAGGGGGTCACCGCGGCGGCCGCCGGCCAGCTCAGGCCGGGAAGGGGGCGGAGGAGGGGAGGAGCCGGGCTGCGTCCGGGCCCCCCGCTCTCGGCGCCCTCGCGGCTCAGATCATCCGGGCGTTGGAACGGGAGGCGGAGAGCGGGTCCCGGAGGAGGAGGAGGAAGAGCCGAAGATTCATCGCTTTCGCGCCCCACCTGTCTGGCGCCCCCCCCCCCCCCCTCCCCAACCACCCGTTCCGGCGCTGCAGCCGCCCGAGCACCCGAAGCTGCGGGCCGGGCCGGCGCCGAGACCACTGCTCCCTCGCTCCCGCGCGCGCTCCCGCCCCTAGCGCCGCCGCCGCCGCCGCCGCCTCGAGCGCGTCCCCGCGCAGGCGCGCTCACGGCGGCGCCGTGCTGCCCCTCCCCGACTCCTCTGTCCGCCCCGCCCCGCTGGCTCGGCGGCCGCTACAGCTGCGGCGCGGCTGAGCAGCTGGAGAGACCCGGATGTCGTTGGGCAGGAACTGCGGCGAGGGCCGGCAGGCGGGGGAGGGGCGGCCGCAGATGACATCACTGCCCTACCCAGCTTCTCTCGCCGCAGCCCCCTCGCGGCCGGGGCCCCAGGCTGAGGCCGAAGGGAGCATCCGAATCCCGGATCGGAACCGGGACTGGGGCCCTTATGCCCCCGGCCCTGGGGGCTGGACAGAGTGTGTGAGCGTAAGGAGTCCCGGCCATCGAGAGCTTCTTCAAACCGGGCAGTCTGTCGAGCCCGGACTCGGGAGCTCCCCCTAGGGCGTCGGCTCCTCCCGCCCTGGCGCTTCCACTTGTCTTGAATACACACCCCACTCCCTGCAAAGACGCCGTTCTCAAAACCCGGAGGACCCACCCCGTGCTTTTGACCTCTCTCGGACGCAGTCGCGGCCTCGTTGCCCCCTGGCGGCTGCGGCTTGAACGCACTGTAGCTCCCAGGCAGCCGCCAGACCCCTTCCCCCGGGGCCCCAGGCCTCTGGAGCCACCCTGGCCAGTGACCCCGGGAGCCCCACGGAAGTACCCCTACCACACACCTCTGGTCCCGAAGGGCAGCCACACCCTACCACCACCCACCCACACGCGAGTGCGGCTGATACACGCACGGGGCACATGCTCTGAGTTTCTGGCAGGTTTTCCATCTGTAGCTCATCGGATTCCACCTTGTATTTATTTGCACATGTTAGACAGTCATGTGATTCTGTCACAGGGGACCTCCAAGAATCTCCTGCAAGGTTTAAGGAACGCAAGATTTCTCTTGAGAATGATCAGAAACGTAACAGCTGCTTCTGTTAAGAGTTAGAGATCAAGTCAACCTAATTGAAACTGCACATGAAGGCGGCCAAAATCCAGTTTAGCTAGCCGGACTACAGAAAACCGACCCACGCTGTTTGCAGACGCCGGGATAGAATGACAAACCCTAGGCGGCCAATGAATCAGAACTGGGAGCAGTACATCACCAGCATGAGTTCCCATTGGCTGGGGTGTCTTTCCCTCTCTTGTCAGAGGCTTAACCTGTTCATGGATTTGACCTATACCACATTGGCTGGAAGAGAAGTTTAAAGAAAAATCCGTGTTTTAAAAAGATGGTCTCGTATATACAAAGAAAAACCCAAATAGTTCACTGTAGGAGGCAAGTACTTTAAAAAGAACACCTGAAAATATTAGTCAAATTGTGTTCTGGCCAATAAAAAGGTAAACTTGTGATGAGGCCTCTCCATTTTATTTCAGGAACTCAATGTAGCAATTTATACCCTGTTACTTTGTATATCCTAAAAGCACTTTGTTGCCCCAACTCTTAGATCAAAAGCAATCTGTTTATTCTTTCTGTCATTCAACGCACACTTAGCTGTTTTTGAAGCTGTGAAAGCCATCTCCAATTTTTTCTACATGACTTTTTTGAGAAGATTCTGTTCCTTTCACATTTAGGCCTGGAACCTGACAACAGGATAAAACAGTTTCACCAAATAGTCACTGGCTGGCCAATCTTCAAGAAACCCCAAAATCACTCTACCCACTATCTATGGCGTTAGAATTTCTTAGAGTGAGAGGAAGATGGATCTTTTCCAGGTATACAATGTGAAAATAAAATTCACTTATGCATTTGGTCCCAGTATCATCTGAGGATACAGTTCCTAATTACTTCTCTGTACACTTGCCAAAAAAAAAAGGGGGGGGAAATTAGATCATAGATCTTTGAAACCTTGCGTATTGAAAATCCTTAATACTTAAGACAAGTAACAGCATGATTAGCATGCTAGTAGACTCATTACAATTGTAAAATTAAAAAGCCCATGTGGCAACCACTATGTGAAGTGCCCCTGGAAAGCAAATTTTCTTATTCCTAAGGCAGAGCCTGGGTAGCCAATGACAGTAGTGGACCATAGAGAACTTGAAGGACTTGCTTATCTTTCTGCTTCCTCCTTTAGTCTTCCATATCTTTTCTTCTCTCTGTTCTACACTTGCAGGAGAATCTGGGTCAATTATAGCAGAAGAGGCAGTAGAAAATAAGAGCATAAAGAGATTTTTAAGGAGGCCGCACAGTGTACCACAGACTGCTGATAAAGCTCTACCTTCCTACTATTTATTTCTGGATACAGCTTGCACGGACATTTTGGTATGAACTAGGAAACTCATGGGTTATCAGATAACATTTTTAAAGTTTGGAACAAAGATATCTTAATATTGTCTGAATAAATATGCTTGATATTATAATATCCCATTCCTTATTATTATATTAACTATTATGTTCCCGAAATATTATGCTATAGACCAAACCCAACTATTTAGAAGGGAGGAAAGGACATTGAAAAAAGAGGCTTAAGGGTGGCCTGGGTGGCTCAGTCATTAAGTGTCTGCCTTCGGCTCAGGTCATGATCCCAGGGTCCTGGGATCAAGCCCCGCATCAGGCTCCCTGCTCAGCGGGGAGCCTGCTTCTCCCTCTCCCACTCCCCCTGCTTGTATTCCCTCTCTCGCTGTGTCTCTCTCTGTCAAATAAATAAAATCTTTACCAAAAAAAAAAGGAAAGAAAAAAGAGGCTTAAAAGTTTTCTTTTTGTTTAAACTATCGGGGGCCTCCAACATGTATTTGGGATGTTCATAATGAGTTTCTGTGAAACCTCAGTGAGAATATATTCTCATAATTGTATTTTAGTAATTTCTTATGGGCATATTGTAAAACTATCCTACAGCTGCTTTGGAAATCTGTTTACATTTCAATTACCAAAGAGGAAGAAGATTTTCTGGAAGATTGGCTTTCAAGTCCTGAATTTAACTGTGCTATTAGCTTAGTAATTGGGAGGCATTGGGTGAGCATGGGGGCTGAGGTGAGGAGTCTGAAGCTTAATCTGGTTAGCATACCCTCTCCTCTTTTCCTCTAGAATCACAATTTTAAAGTGAAGGTTACACTGCTTGTTCCTAAATTACTATTGTGAATCCATCCGGGAAAGTCACCCTTGAGACCACCTGGCTTGGGCCTCTCAAATCAAGGTCAGCAATTTAAGTGATCCCTCAGGGGAGCACTTGAGAATTCCCCTCACCTGAGCCATGCATCCTTTCACACTGAAGTCAGCCACTACTCAGCCACTACTCAAAGCCAAGCAGAACAGAGTTTCAACTCTTCCTTCCTCCTCCTCCTTCACTACCTGTTCCACGAGGCTTTCTCACAAATATCCTCTTCATACGTCCTCCTCTTCTCTCTTTTCTCCTTATCACTCTTCTCCCTTTCTTCTGTTCTTTTTTAGTCCCCTTTGCCCTTCTTTTCCCCATTCTTCTCTTCCCGCTTTTTCTTAGCTTAGTCCAAAATACAAGCCTCTGCTACCCACTTTCTCCTGAAGCAGTACATATCAGTGGATAGTGCCCCTAAACTAATTTTGTTGGTGGGGGGTGTGCCCCCCAGCCTGGCCCTCTGGCCTCCATCCGCCCCCTCCCCCCCACCATAAAGGGTCATGAAAAACTTAGGTCTTTAAAGGACTGTCACAGAATGAAAAGGATTAGAGAATCCGGTCCTGTGTGACATCACTGAGGCAGCTCCATCAGGGGTGGAGTAGATAGGAGCCAGCGGTCTTGTGTTGTCACTGTGACTCCTCCTGGATCTTTTAAGAGAGATGGGGGTCCCCATGAACACCACAGGCCAAGTCCTAGGGAGTCTTCAGAGTAGCGTCTCATTTCAAGAGAGCTGTATATAGCCAAAGCCCCACGACATTGGGGCAGGCCCTTTCAGGCAAATTCATTTGTTCAACGGATAGTTATTGTATGCCAGGATGGTGATAGATAAGGACATGAAGAGGCAAAAAGTCCCAGCCCTCAAGGACCTGATATTATAATCAGGGGTATAGACAAAGAGGCAAACAAATAAGGAAATTAAGATATAGAATATGCCAAGCTCCATACCAGGCCCCTTATGGGTGTTACTTAATTCTCACAATAATTTTGTAAACAAAGATACTTCCCCCCTCTCTCTCTCACCCCCCATTTTACAGAAGAGGAAACTAAGGCTGAGGAAAAGAGCTCTTTTGCAGACCTGAGACCGTCTTGAGTCCAAAGTCACTGCTTTTTCTGTCCCAGAAGCTGACTCTTGAACTGACTTTCTCTTTTCTTGAGGCCCTTTCCACTGCAGTTTTGCATCCAAGAAAAAAAGAACAAGTCCAAAAATGGTGCCCTTGCTGAAGATGTCTTAGGAGAGGAGGTACACAGCACATTGAACAGCAAAATATTTCTCATGCTCCATTTAAAATCATCACTTGTCTTAGAATTTTGTTTCCAGCTGTCACCAGTTCTATTCTCCTGCTCTCTCTACTCAAGGAAAACTTCTCTCTTCCCTTCTCCTAAGACTCTATGAAAACTGGAGGAGAGCATATTTATTCTGTCTGAAGATATTCAAAACAATCATTTTTGAATATTTTAAAAATGTTAGAGCCAAAGAGGATATCCCAAAGCCTATCTCTGCTCTGTTTATCCTGTGGACAAGTTATTAACCTCTCTTAACCTTGGTTTCTTCATCAGGAACACAGGAATAATCACCCTGCAGAAACAGATGAGATCTTGCACAGAAAGAACCTGCCACAAGAAAATGTAACTGTTACTTTAAAGCACATCATGTGATATTTTTAATAATAACACATTGTAAATGTTTTGACACCTTCCATGCAATATTTTGTCTCTTCTATAGGCCTACAAAGGTTCACAACAGAGTTGTCAGTTGTAGGGCTAAAATTATTCTTTCCAAGACTTGTTTT